CATTTTGTTGAGGGACATACATCTTGGGATGCCTACCTCCAATGTATGGAGGCCGATGGTACATGGGGTGATCACGTGATTCTCCATGGTGCGGCAAACTGCTTTAATACCTGCATTCACGTGATCAGCAATCATCATCGTGATGTACTGATTAACCCACAACGTGGAGATGCCGACCGTGACCGGCTTGTACTGGGACACTTATATGGGCTTCACTATGTTAGCCTTATTCCATGCAAATCACCTGAAGGTAATTCACCTCTTGCCTTGTAATGTTAGATTTAAAAAGACACTTTAACAAATAGAAGTTATTGTTGTGTTGAAGTGGCAGTATGTTATGTCAAGTTTTTGCCGCCTGTCTGAAGTCTTGGTTCTAGTGCCACGTGTCACTTGTAAAATGATGACATTCATTTATTTAGTAACAACCCGTGTAGAAGGAACATCTCCACAGCGTTCCGAGCCCTTTTGTTAAAACTTATGATTTTATTTTCGCCAAAAAGCTCAAAAATAGAACAGAAGTAAATCTGTCAAGCAAACTACAAAAACTTGGTTTTTCCATTGTCACGCTTTGTTTTCTTTTTGAAGCCGTTCAAAAAACTCGCAGTCTTGTATAATCAGGTTTAAAAACTCTTGGCCTCGCCTCGAATGTTTATCCTGATAATACAAGACTGCGAGTTTTTTGGACGGCTTCAAAATCTCTGATATAGATCAACTCATTCTTACACTAATATTTAGATTTGGGGTTATTTTGGTTTAAAAAATTAGACGTAAAGTTTAGCCGTGTCTTTATCAGATATAAAGACACTCATTAAACATTTATTTCTTTTGTTTTTTTCTTATGAATTATTAATCGATTTTGGAATTTTCATCTCGCGACATATTAAGGCAAACGACTCATAAAAAACAACTCTAGGTTATGAATACATCATTACTTTTTAGACTTATGGACAGTAAAGCGCCAGAAACGCAGATTAGAAACGGACGAAGATGATGCTCATTTGGATTGGGGTAAGGATAAAGTAATGATTTTTGGTATCAGAAAGGTAGATTTGCTACAAGTTGCCTCTCATAAGTTCTTAAAAGTGAGCGAAGTGAGCTTCAATGCATGAGGTCGCGGGTTATCAGCCGAAGCCGAAGGCTGAGGCCGATAAACCTTTACTGAGACCTTGATCATTCTGAATATCACAAAAACCGGATCTAATAATTGTTTTATTATACATTGAACGAATCCTTTCTTTCTCGCTTCGACATGAAATGTTTTCACAGTTTGTGCCAACTCTTCCTTTTCCTCAGGTTCTCTCAGTTTTTTATCTTTCACATAATCAACAAACAGCTCCTTTGCCACCTTCGTCGACCTTTTTGTGTTTGTGAGTCCTTGTGTTCAACTATTTTTTCGATGTCTTGCTGGGTCAACGAAGCAAACCTGGAGGTCTAGTTTTTGCTTCTTCACTGACGGCAAGCAACACAAAGCGCGCGGACTTGACATGATTACCCTTAGAAATCATTCACCGCGGTCATACATGACATGATTACCCGTGACCTTGAGTGTCCTTGACATGATTTTTGTATAATCTGCAGCTACAGTCTCAGTCAAAATGGTTGGGACACTTTGGGGTCTCCTTGTCCCCTCAATGTTGGTGTACAAGATTTGGTGACCGAACCGCGATAAACAACTTTGAGAGAGACGAGGTGAGCACGAGAAGGGAAAAAACAGCGTTTGGCTAAAGTGTCCCAACTATTTTTGTCTGAGACTGTAGATGATGTCCCAGGCGCTGATTTCGAAAATTCCCTGTACGCTTTCAGCCAATTAGAAAAGAGATAGTGAGTTGTATGTATAATAATGGCAAATGTCTGTTATTTTTTGTTATGTAAAGGTGGAGAGAAAAACAAGAAACACAAATCAGGCAAGAAGTAGATGTTAGCAGTGAGACAGATACAGAATGGTACCCGGTAAAAACGGCGGGGATTAAAAGAAGAAAATAGTTTTATATTTTTCTAAAGATTTACCCATAAATTAATATTCATATTTGACAGGGTCGAAAAAGCTTGGTTTTTTCTGTGGGTGTTTGCATTTTCCTACATTGCCAGTGTGAAAAATGTAAAAATGTAAAAAACAAAACTTCTTTCTTTACAGTGAATTAATAATAATGATAATGACGTTTATTATTAGGATGTTTCTTAGCAAACTGTATAGCTTTTTAACAAAATGTGATGATAAAATAGATGTTCACGGCATATAATTTATTGGACAGAAACATTCACGATAGTAATGTCACTATTTTTAGTTGAATTATAGCAACTAAATTTTTTAACAAATTACTCCTGTATCAGGATGTTCATTACGAATCTTTGTATATATTTATTTGTTCTTAATTGTGATGTTTCTTATTAGACTGTAGAGCTTTTAGCCAAATATTTGTTTAAAATGAAGACTTTAAAAATTTATTTGAAAAGTGACGTTCATGTTAGTTTAGGGTGTTTCTTACCAACCTGTAAATATTTTTAGTTGAATTACAGCCTTTAGTTAGAACTTTTTATATGGGATCTATCTTGTATCAGGATGTTCAGTCATCACCAATCTCTATATACATGTATATTTATTTCGTCATTGGGATATTTCCTCTCAGACTGAAGCGTTTTTAGCTCAGAATTTTAAAAACAATATTCCTTCAGAATTTATTGGAACCGTTTGGCTTTATGGAAACTGCCTGTATCAAGTTGTTTCTCGCCAGTCTCTTTATATTTTTCAGTTTGAAATACTGTTGATTTGAATTTGCTAGATTTCTTTTCTGTCAGGCGATGGTCCTGATCAGCCACGATATAGAGGATATTACACGGTGGCGAGAAGATATGAATTTTATGTTCGAGTGGCAAGAACAATATCTCACGAGTGAGCGAAGCGAACGAGTGAGATATTGTTCTTGCCACGAGAACATAAAATTCATATCTTCGAGCCAACCTGTAATGTTCTTTTTATTATATGGAGAAACCAATTCAACAAAAGCAAAAGGCGGGAATCGAGACGTCATTGAACGATACGACACTCACAAAGGTGACATACGGAAAATACGCCACTCGGGTCCCGGATGAAGTGGCGTATGGAATCTACGAGTGGTTTAGTTCCCAGTAAAACACTCTCCTCCATATAATAAAAAAAGTTATCTTATTTCCTAAATGTCATTCATGTCTCAGTGAATGAACGTTACTTTCCAATCTGAAAAAAAAAAATCTTCCGTTTAATGATGTTCCATAAGAATTTATCCATAAGCAATGGCTATTGTCTTTCTCTCGATGTCCATTAGGCCCCATCCACACGTATGCGGATATTTTTTAATCCGCAACTTTTTCTTTCCGGAGACGGCTTTCGTCCACACGTATCCGGTGTATCTGGCAGAGGAATCCGCAACTTTTTGCATCCGCTCTCCAGAGTGGAAATTTTTGAATCCGCTTTAAATCTGTATCCGGAAACGGTTATTAGTCACTGCTAATGAACAGCACGTGCAACAATTTTACGAACTGGATCTGAATCCAGACAGCAAACTTAATTTTTTGGAAGAAAATTAAACATACATACAGGTAGGTATAATCTCTGTAAGTCCACTAAAAAAGTTAACATTGGTAGTGAGTTGAAATGGTAGTATTTTTAATACATCACTAGATATATACAGATATATATATATGCTTAAGGCGTCTGAATGGGCTCAGACCCTGATACGAATAAACAAAGGTCTCTCTCTCTCTTTCACAAAACACGCTGATGACTGTTATAACCCACTGCTAATGAACACTGCAACACATTTATTCTAGAACCTGGATCGGAATCAAGAGGGCCACCTTAATTTTTTTTGATAATATGTAAACAGAGAGGTATGAATAATCACATCTGCATCACTAACATCAAAGCTAACACTGGTGATAAATTTTAATCGTATCATTATGAATACATACCACTTCATAATGAAGTAATTACGTACTATTCGTAACTTATGATTATCGTATTGTCAATCATAATTTGCTCGCCAGGTGACGGAAGTTGCATTTTTGTTCAAAGTGAGAAACTTAATCTTCATAGGGGAGCGAGTATATGAACGATCAGAGTAATGTTACTAAAAACACTCTTAACTGTTATTGGTCACTCCTAATAAACAGTGAACTACCAACGTCACCCTCTGGGTCTTCTCGATGTCAATATGGTGACGGTAGGAGAGAAGACCCTCGCACACAGCCAAACTCAAACAATCGCTGATTGGCTCCCTCTAAATTTTAAGTTTCATTCTTACATGGACGTCGATTGGTCGACACCTCTCTTCAGAGTTCTTTCTCGACAGTTGCTCGCCAAATAAATTGCAAATTGCAATCCCTGTACGCATGAAACTCAAAATAGTGTGTCACTCAATGTACTTTGAAACCAGTTCCAAACCGCTGCCATTTGGGTGTTCAGTGGTGAAAGCTTCGAGAACAACTTGCAATGGTGATGCCAAAATAAAATGATGATATTGATACTCTAGTAAACCGAAGAGAAGTTCAAGACCTTTGAACAGGATGTGGTTGTTTTCTGCTGCAAAACGCCTTGTCCCCTGTTGGGTGCACAAGCACCTTTTAAACCTTTTCGATTTGTTCACCATGGCTACAGTGACGAGGTGATCCACTTTAAAATTGAACGACGCAACTTAGGATACTTGAGGTGGTCATAATGTCCAGGATGAACAATACGCCTTGAGTCCTCCGATTTCATTACGTGATCACAGGAAAGAGCATAATAAGGGCTACCGCTTTTCACAATAGCACTTTGTGTCCCCGATGCTAGCTTTTCCTGTACGCCAGTGCTTGCTCCTAATTAAAGCCCGCGGTCGTTTTGTTCTTGTGCCTCTCTTGTACTCTCTTGGGTATAAGTGAATACAGCTCTTCTCCACAATCCACTCGTCAACCTGAGGAGCAGTCAGTGATTTGGGTTCGCCAAATGAATACTCGAGCCGTTGAACATTCAGTATGTTGACGCTGTTATTATACAGATCTGGCCATTCCAGCTTCACATTCATATCGTCGAAAAACGTTTGGGCTTCTTCTTTTAAGTCTTTTGGAATACCAGACTCTCCATTAAACACATCAGTAAAACTGAAGCACAATCTGACCACACGTCGAATGCATTTTCCATGCTCAGCTTCAAACTTCATGGTTGCAGAACGAATTTGTCTCACTCCACTCGCCGTTACCATAGCTATAGGCACTTCACCTGGATCCAAGGAAGTGTCGTCCTTAGGGTTTTCAACGGATTCTCCCCCATGTGCGGATTTTAGACCAGGTTCGGGAACAATACTAAGCTTGTCCATTTGCAACAAATCTGGTAAGTAGAAGAGAGAATTCAGTATGAGTGTCGTCATGAAACATCACGGTTGCTGCAATAATAATTTTCACTTCACGCTGCTTGTCCATGGGCACATCTCCTGAAACTAATGCACTTCTCATTGGGTTTCCCGGCGGTCAACTCCTGGGACACCCCAGGGGATTTGTTTTCACGATCACGCAAAAACCTACTACCGGTGTATAGGGCTTAAACTACACGCCAAATCCCCATCCCCGGGGGCTAAGAAGCCACCATTTCTTCATTTACACTCGATCTTTGCAGTTATAACATTATATATCTGTCCTATTTTTTGGAGGGTGTCCTTCCAATAATTTTGACGCAGCGTCCATGATACCAAATGTGACACCTTGCTTACCGTAAATCCTCTATTAAGCCCCCCGGGGGGCTTATTTATTTTAACCACATTTGAATGGGGCTTATTCAATTTAGCAAAGAAGATAGTATCAGTTCTCCTTGAAAAACTAGATCGCAAAAATGGAAAAACTCAATACAAGAAGTTGGAGGTCATACAGCCGAGGATCAAAAACAAATCCGAACTTCCAGCTGGTAAATAAACCATCCCGGATCAGTCCACACGAAGTGTTGCGTCCTGATTGATTAATACAGTCTATCATTTACCAGTTAATAAAAATATGGGGAAGGGAAGGGGGGCTTAAAAGAGATTGGGGGGGGGGGGGCTTATTTTTTTTTCTTCATCTAAAAAGGGAGGACTTATTAGAGGGAGGGGGCTTATTTGAGAGGGGTTGGGTGGGGGGCTTCATAGATGATTTATGGTATTTACTATTCTTTAAACTATTGGCCGTGAATATTCAAGACTGTCCATGTAAAGAAAAATTTGCGGAATCAAAAATATCCGGATACGTGTAGACGGACAAATTCGATTTGGATCCGGATACGTGTGGACGGGGCCTTAGGTAATAGCCGTTAAGAAAAACACTGGATCTTTCTACGTTATGTTCTTTAGCAGAGGGTTTGTGGATAGTTGACCCGTCAGCTTTCGTAGTTCAAGGTGGAAGTTTTTTATCCCATCGGCATAGTTAGTGATTTGTTTTTAAATTGCTAGTTGATGGGACTAAAGTGAAGATAAAAAACCGAACTCCGTAAACTTCTTTATTTATTTAAGTTATTGATTAGTTTAGCGTGTTTATTATTTTGCAGTAGCATATATCACGGTCAGGTTCTCTAACTAGTTTATTGGTTAATCAGATTAGAAAATAACAAATCCATCACTTATTCACCCCGCTGTCTCATTTATTTTGAAATTATTCAAATGCGGCTGTCAGTCATTTATTGATTCTGAGAATCAGCCATTTCTGTTCAGTGGTCAATCGGTGCTATTTAGTTCACCAATCAGTCAGTTACGTTTATCAGTCAGGCAGTCAGACAATTGGTTGTCAAGTAGGTTTATCATCCGGATGATTTATTGTGACTACTGGTTGATAGTTGCATCATTAATTACTTAGGGAATCGGCGGCCGGATGCATGAACAAAAACTTTCTTAGGAGAAACGTACCCTATTCAATGCGACCATAACTTTATACTCAAACCTCCCGTAAGTGGACATCCTTGTGTTGTAGGGAGGCTAGGGAGGGGGAAATAGGAAAGCGCGCGGGGGACGATGGGAAATGGAAAGAGAAGAAGTGAGGTTCCCGCCTTTTCTCTCTTCCCATCGTCCACCGAACACTTACTATTTTTTTTTATTTATCTCTATTTTTATCAGAATATCCAGCGGGAGGCTCTGCGGAGGAGAGAGCCTTTGGGTGTTTCACTATTTGTAGATCGCTGGGACCATGACTAAGTGTCCGCTTTTGCAGGTGTCGCGGGCCCATCCACAGGATGTTCCCACAGCGGAGGTTTGACTTAAGGGCAATACTGTACTTAAGATATATCCTAGGGTGGGACAGTTCTTGAATTCAACCCAGCAGAACTGTAGTTAAGTACAGAAAGTATGGTTATTGAAAATAAAGTCTATTTATTTTTAAAACTATTTTTTTTTCTTGAACTCAGTACAGCTTTGTTTGCCGGTTTTAAATGGCTTGTGAATTACAGTTTCAAGTCAACTTTACATTTTTTAAAAAGCATTTGAAATTGCTAGTGATTGCAAAACGCTCTCGTCCGTGTCGGTGGGCTTGTTCACATGGTACCTGTTTTTCGAAAAGATACTTTTTACTTATTAGAAAAGATGCTTTTGTAATCAAAGGTTTGCAGTCTATGATGTAATGATCTGATAGCATGAGATCCAGCTCCACCGTGACGGTTTCTGTACCAGTCTATCCAGTTGGCGGTTAGTGGAGAGCGAGTTAAATTGTACACCGGGAAAAGGAGGGAGGGGGAGAGCAGGGGAACTCCCTTCCCCCTTCCTCCTTCCTTCCTTCTCTCCCCCTTTCCCCCTCTAGTCTCCCCTCTTTTTTTATTCTTTGTGAATTTTTCTCCCGCCCTCTACTATTTGAACGCCTGGAACAGGCTATGTGTGTGGCTGCACTAACGTGTTGCGTGCACTCGAATGATTGTAGAATCTGGCTGAACTCAATAAAAAGCAGTCTGAAGATTCTGATCATCAAAATGAAAGTTGTAATCCCCAGCTTAACCTGTTCCGAGCATCCACGGTTTGTCTCCGACAAGAAAGAAATTAGCCTCCGAAAACAGCCGCCTCTCCTCGCCGCCGAAACGTCCCTAGCGGCGAGGAGCGAGGACAGACGACTGTTTTCGCATTCGAGGAAGTAACACTGAGCAAGATACTGAAGAGGTGAGGAGGGTCTGTGCTCTCTTTCATCACTCTACCGAAGACTACGAAGGTAAAGAGTATAGCGACCCACCCTCCCAACCTACGAGTAAGTCGAGGCTGATTCTGTACGTTTCTACTTTTCGCCACCTGTTTTTCTTTGTCTTTTTGTGATATGGTGTATGCGTAATAATAAAGTTCAAAAAGGGGCTAAAAATGGCTCAGCTTGTAATCTTGTATGGCACGGTTTCAAAGTTTTCATTTTAGTACGTTCCCAGTATTAAAAAACTCTGGACATTACTGACGACTGTAGGTACTTTCCGATGACCTTGTAAATGTCGTCTGGGCGTAAAAACATGACATTGACGATCTTAAATTCTTCTCTCATCATCTTGAAAGTTTTCTTAGAGTGCCAGCACAATGCGAAGACCTGGAAATGCCTGCACTAGATCCTTTTGCAAGATTGGTCAGACAAGTTCTTTCTCATATTCCACTGTTCCATGTTCCATATTTCATATTCGATAACCAGGATTTTATAAAACCTCACATATTAATCGTTGAAGTTGACTGATGAGAGTGGTCCTATATAGTCTACGGGGCAGGCGCAAAAAGGGGAGGGGGAGTGGGGAGGGAGAAAGGGAAAGGAGGAGGGAGCGGCGTCCCCTCTCCCTCTCCCCAATCCCCCCTTTTCCCTTCCTCACTATCCCCAACCCTTTTTCGAAGGCTAGGTCCTATAATTTCGGACCATACGAAACAACACTGTCGCAATAAACAATCGATGATTACTCCTGAAGCCTGAACTCCTGTGAAGTTATTAATAGCCTTATTATTAACCATAGTATTATATTTGAGTCATCGAATATTTGACATTACTGGAAGTTAAGGATAAATTAACCATTCAATTGAAACAGTTGTTATTTTAATAACCCCATTTTAGTTTTGTCGGGTGCAAATGTATGCTGAATATTTAGGGTCACGTGATTACTATTTTCCAGTCACATGACTAAGTAGAACGTTATTGATGGTTATGCTGATTTTCTTATAGTGGCCAAAAAACAATTATGGTAGTCTTTTTCCCTGCCGTCTGTGGGCTTTTAGATCCGGCCTCGCTTCCATGTTGAAGGATAGGGAGCCTAAAATGAAACCGTCCCACCCCCCCCGCCCACCCCATCTCATGATAGTCGAGATCCTTCGATTTCGAGGTCCAAACAGCAATATTCTTCATCAGGGCGGTAAGACAAAGATTATGTGTTTGCTATGTTTCCTGCTTCTTCCCAAAATGTTTAGCGAAAATGAAAAATAAGCCCTTTCTGAGAAAGTGCCTTCTGACTTAGAGGGTAAAAGTCAATCTAACCTAGTTTAGAAAATGTACTTCTGTCCTCAATAGCACTTTCAGTTTTTTCTGGCTCATCAAAGAAATTTTGGTTTTCACGTTTCAGCCTTTTTGAAAAAATGACCTTCCTTTATTATCGCAATTTGTGCAGAGAGCTTATGATTTTGTTCACAGCTAGCCTGAATTTCAGCCGTATCTCGGGAGTTTGCGACTAGATGAGAATTTGAGGTCATTCAGGAGCTCCTTACTTAAGTACTAGTCCACGGCAATAGCAGTTGATAATATTTAAGGTAAATTTACCCTGCTAGCAGTGTCGATTCGATTTTTCCTAGGTTAGAAAGATCGAAGGAGACTCGCATAGGCGTACGGGCCGGGGGGGGGGCGAGGGGGGCTGCAGCCCCCCCAAATTTTGGGCAGCTCAGAGTTTTTGGGCAGCGAGAGAAAATTTGGACAAAGCCAGTTTTTAAAGACGTCTCCATGTTTATTTAATTATTTTAAAGACCTGAATATTAACCTGAAGTCGGCGTAATAATCCAGTTACATTACAGTGGTTGCTTAGCATGTGATGAGTAATTTACATATTTACATTTTTTTTTGTTGTTGGGCACCATACTGCACTGCACTAACTGGAAAGGGCTATTTCCAGTTGAGAATTAATTAAAATAAACTTTCGCATAACTTCCTAGAATCATCTCCACTCGAAGAACAGTGTATGGCAGATAGCATTTAGCAATGGATATGGAAACCCGAGTTTGACTGGAAACGCTTGCTACGCAGGCTACAATGGGTATGAAAATGAAGAAGTGGCTAACTAGTTCTCAGTTTGAATTAGGAGAAGAATCTTAATTCTTTTAAATAATCTATCGAGCGGTTTAAAATTATTCGCTAATTTGTTAAAGTAGACCGAAATGTTTACAAAACCGCTAACAAGAGTGTCTCGATACATACTAGTCAAATCTTTCTTTCGATTCCAGCAATCAAGCAGAGCTATCTCCACGATCTTTGACACATGTTTTTAAAAAGATTAAAGTACTATGAGATGAAATTGCAGGTCAAAAGCGCTTCGTTTTCTACAGATAACGGCCAAAAATCAAGATTTTCCTTTTCTTACCGTATTTCTAATAATAAAAACTTCATTGCAAAATATCTCGATAACGCTCTCTTAAGGTTTTTCTTTAAACTTCGCGAACATCGAGGCGACCGTATGGGAGAAAAAAGCTTCCTGTGAACGATTTTGTAAGGTTCCCGTGCCGAGAATCATTGCTGAAGTAAATAGGTAATGGAGTCATTTCGTTGCTATGACAACTCCGATGTCATTGCAACCCTGATGATGACAAATTTTCATCTTAATACAACTGTGGTCGCAATTTTTCCAAATGTTTGTTTATGGCGACGTAGTTTATGCTTAGACTTGGTATTGACCCTGAAAAACTGTATCGAGCCACCTTCATATGCCAGGACGGCCTAGTTGTTGGAATATGGCCCTCATTTCTTTTCGGCTCTTTCGTAAAAATTTGGGCAACTTGCGAGATTTTTTTGGGCAAATGGTTTACCGTATGCAGCCGTTTTTGTTTCAATTTTCATGCAACGCGAAGACAAAAAAAGGAGCTGAATAGGAGACTACTCCTCCTGTTCCCTTCAAATATGGTTACTCCTTCACCAAACCAAAACGAACCCATTACATTGGTATGGAATTAAAAAAAAATTGAACAAGTGTAAAATATGAGAAGCCCATAACCCTTATAATAAAAGCTGACCACAGTTTTGTCCATTTAAGGTTCCTAAAATTTGTTTCGACCACTGGTAAAATTCATCTTCAAAATTAGAGGTGGTCCACAGGGGTAGTCCATGGACTAGGTCCACAGGGATGGTCCATGGACCGGAGTCCATATTTTTTATATGTCCTTAAATAAAGCAGCATTTTGCATTTCTCGGCCTTTTGCATTTTTCGAGTTCTTCGGCCTCAGTGGATAACACCCTCTGAGATCTGCATAATTATTCATATCCTAGGAAATCTGAATTCAATAATTGCTTTATTTATTCATTCAAAATATTTCCTAGTTTAAAAACAAGCATCCAGCTTCTATGCTAAGTTCATCTTGATAGTGCATGTTTATCAGGAAGTTTAGAAGATAAAGCGCTGTTCAGGTCTGCAAATATACTCCAAATAGCAGATGTCGTCCGTTGAGTTGCTATTCTTGCTATGTTTTCAGACAATAGTTTGCCATGAAACGATTAAAATGTTCTGCCGACTGTTCCGCCCTTTTGTTCTCACTACCAAAACAACTCAACCTTGTCCCCAGGTCTTCTCGGTTTACGGTTCAATAATCTGCAAATTTGCTGCACTTTTGACGTCATCAGTTCAATATGGCAAAATTCTTCCAAATTTGGTCAACAGTTGCTGGTTATGATGAATTATGCGTGTGATGTTAGCCAATCATAAACGTAGAATATTTTGAACGAATAATATGTGCTGTTAATGTCCTCTGAGGAGTTAAACAATTTTTTTTTATCCTGTGTGTTTCGGGTATTGGAAGAAAACAGACACACTTCCAATGAAACTGTCACCCTTTTATTATTTATTAATGAGGATTGCAATTTATGTCGCACATGTAGAGATAGTTCAGTGGGTTTTTTTATCTCAAGTTGGGCAAGAAAAAACAGGACAACCAAGGGCGCCCAATTCTATCTTTCACCCATACTACTTTCAAGCACCTGCTGATATGTACATTTACTCAGGTGCTAGTGACATGCGTAAGTGTTGTTTTTAAAAGCTGAAAGTTGCCGTAAGTCTCAAATGGCCAGTGAGTATAAAATGGGAGAAAGCATGCATGCTACTTGAAATTTTAGTATAATATAATGTCAAAGAACATTTAAGAAGGTCTTAAAGTATTTTTTAATGCGGTTGTGAGTTTAGGATTAGCGCGGCCACCTCGGCTCATGGAAGACTTCTTTTAGACGAAGAATGTGTAAGAACTTGCAAATCCTCACCATTAAAGTTATTACCCAGCTCTCTTGCAAAATAGTAGACTACATAAGAGGAATAACGAAACATAAATGCGATATTTATATCCACAGAATAGGGGCCAGGAAATGTAGAGGGTAATACACTGTAACCTTTTAAGTGGAAAGTTTGATTGCAACTTAGGCACATCCTCCCTTTCCACATGAGCCTATGTCCCATGCACTCCTGACTTCCATAATTTAATTACATGATCTCAACAAATAATCCCTTCAGATTGCTTGCTGTTGGGGCGACATCCTGCTTCAATAATTTTTTGGCATTTTATCAAATAGGGTCAGTTAGGATGCAGATAGTTGTAATTCTGGTAGAGGATTTGAAGTAAGCAATCATGTATTACTACTACGTTTTGGGGGTTGTCAAAACTTTCAGGGTATGCAAAATAATTCCATGTCTTGGCCCCTGTTCTTGAAAATGATCTAATTAATTAATTCGTTTATCCAGTCTTGAATATTTAAAATTATTTTGTGATCACCTCTTGATGAGGATCTAGTGTTATAGGTGTGTAATGAAATTGATTATTAGTGGTGGATAAGTAAATGTTTGTGACATCTTGCCTATAAGGAGGAGCACCTGATTTGAAATAAAGCATGATAAGAGGAAGAAATTATATTAGAGAACTAAAAAATTAATACTATATGGGATTATGTGAGCTGCCAAATGGCTTGAGTACAATCAAATGAAAGGCAAGTTTTTCCTAGACAAATATTTGGTTGACATGAGTTTTAGCTGCTTAGCCCAAGGCAACTATACCTTATGCATGGTTCAATTTGACCTGTTACCATGCCCCCCGGGCATGCCCCTGGGGATTTGCAGTTTTTTTCTTCCCTGGTGGTTTATTCCCCGCCCTTGGGCATGCAGAAGGTAGTCAATTTCCCACCCCGGAACTTCTGATCGACCTAATTTAAGTTCTTTTTGGGTACATCTTCTTCAGAGCGAAAAAGATTACGGCAGTACAACAGAAAAACGAAATGTTTTCAGAACATTTAGAAACGTTTTGTAGACTAGAGTTTATTGAGAGAAGGATAATACGTGTATTGTTGTTGGAAACGAAAAGGAAGAAAAAACTCTTCAGCGCCTCCCTGATAGAACACTTCAAAAGAACACTGGACTGAATTTTTCTTTATATATATGAATTAAAAGCCTTATATCCATACAGTCTAGTTAAGTTGTCATATTATTAAACTAGGCTGAAGAAATATTTCTTTGTTTATTTTGCGGTGAAAAAAAAAACCATTCGAATACGCACCATATTGGCAATTCATTCGAAATTTTAAAACGTATCTTCAAATACAGACTTTTCTTTTGGCAGGTTATTCCTCTCCAACCACTCTCCGACAAATTCCTGCATTTTCCCTTGAAAATACGTTGTCTTGAGTTCTGCAGCTTCGTGTACACTGCGCAAGAAATAACATGAACTTCGCAAAATGAAAGAGAAATTTATTATTGATTTGCCCCACCTCCTATCCCTGGGACAATTTTCGCGCGTTTTGATTGGCTCCCGTAACTCGGAATATCCTTGGCTATTCACTGTTTTGCGACCGGAGCCAAGATAGCGTCTCGTTTCGAAACATTTATTTGAGCGATAAATGAACCAGTCGTACAAGCAAATAGCAAGAAAGCGACGAACTTTGGCTTGTGGGTGTTTACTGGTAGGTAGAAAATTATTTTCTTGCAGAATTTGCAACAAAATCATAAAAAATGATCCCAGGAACACTGTCAATTGAAACGTAAACTAGGTGACGTCTTTATTTACAAAAAGATACTTTTTTATTTTTATCCAACTGATTTGGTAAATACTAAAAGATAGATATATACCTCGACGCTTTGCGTCCCTGTCTATATCACCACTATTCACCTCCCATTTGGGGGATAGTTGTATACTATTCGCCTCCCCCTCGGGGGATAGTTGTGTATTATCGCCATAATATACAACATCATCGCAGTCAGGAAAGAAGAAAGGGAGATCTAAATAGACTATACTAGATTCTAACTTGATGTTATCGTAATAATATCCAATATCATCGCAGTCAGGAAAGAGGAAGGGAAGATCTAAATAGACTCTAGTAGATTCTAACGTGATATTATCGCGATAATGTCCAATATCATCGCAATCAGGAAAGAGGAGGATGGGATTTAAGTAGCCTCTAGTATAAGATATATAGATACATTATATATTATAGATATAGGTATATAGATAATATATATAAGTATAAGTATCAGATAATATCCGATACATGATATCCTTTCGATATCGCACCTAACTCGAAATTTGCTAAATTCATGGGTGAACTCTATTCAGCTTTCGAAAAACTAGGGCCTTGAAGGTATGATTAATTTTTAGGCACAACCCTGCCACTCCAATCTGTATTTAAAATATTCTAATATTGCAATTCCATGGACTCTGACTTCAGAAAGGTGCATTTTGTTTTGAGGCAGCTCTAATAGGTTTTTAGCAATGTTAGAAGCTAACTAAGAGAGATTTTTCTTTGATGAGCATTTGTTAGTGGTTTCTTTGGTCCATTTTTAGACTTCAAATGACAGCAGAATGAGCAGCGCTGGGAATGGCATTGCTCAAGTTTCAAGCACCAACAAGCCAGGTTAGAGTTGCTGCTTACCCTTAATGGTAGGACCAAAATTTCAAGGAACTCAGAAAATTGTTTGATTTTAGGTGGTATAACAGAATTCTGGTCATAAGCCCCGCGCTTAAATCAATTTCCAATAGGTAATAAATATGAATGGGCTTAATAAATGTCAGGGTAGTCTCACATATATCTGTGTGGGCTTAAGGGCAGGGAAATGAAATGCTTGAAACTATTGTGAGCCGTCAAAAATGCATTGGACGCAAGAATGTAGTTGTAACAAGGTTTTCTGGAAAATCAGGATCATGGTTGAAGAATCGAGGATCAGGGATCAAGGATCTGGGAGAGGGTATCTAATAGCAAGGATCCCCCCCCCCCCCCCCCACCACGTGTCAGCTGTTCCCTAATGGGGTTCCTTTTGTTTGAGTTTTGTTTTTCTTGTTCTATGAATGAAAACGTCTTACACACTACCAACTTTCTTGGCTGTTCCATATCCATTTAAAGGTCTTAACATACATGTACGATAACTTCTGTGCGTAAGAGATTAAATAAGACTTCCGGCAATGCTTTAGCATGTTACGTTTTTGTAAAAAAAAAATGAATTCTAATTAGTTGCAACCATGTCTAAGCAGGTTAACCGCTAATAGCTGTTCTTTTCACTTAATGGCTCACGACATTACACATCGCACACAATTTTTCCAATGGTAAAAGGCAACTGCTGCACATGTGGGCAGTGTCCATACTTTAAGTGTTTTGTTTTGTTCTAAGAATGGCGCTGGGTGGTTAGTCGCTAGCAGTTAGATTCTTCATTCCAAAGAAGATATAGACAAAATAATGATTTTTTTTTTGTACTTTAACTATTTGGAGCACTGAGTTATTTAAATATTTATATTTCAACAGAATGAAGCAAATGAAAATATGTCTTTACAAGGTGTGACACACTTGCTACATTCATGTGAAAAACGGTTAAAATACTTGCAATCACGTTATTACACTTTGGTACAGATTATTGGAGACACTTTTCAGCTGGAAGATGTCAACTTGATGCTTGTGAAGCAGCTCTTTGTCTTCACAAAAGAACTAAAAGAACAGTGGAAAGCATTTTTACCCAAAATTGAAGTCCTTCATAATCTAAAGGAACAGTTACATGGCCTTCAAGTTGCCGCAGTGGAAAATGTAGAAAGATGGAGTAGAGCACTAAAAGAGCAACTTCAAGGATTTGAAGAGCTACTGTCAATCCTTCTTTCTCAACGAAAAGCTCAAGTTAGTTTGATGAAATACAAATTAATGACCCAGTTAGTTAACCCTTCAAGCCCCAATACCCACATACAAATTCTCTGTGCATAGTTCTGGTGTTGACAGAATGGAGGATCGTCCTTTTGGGAGCAGTGTGATCACCTCAGTTAACAAAGGTTCTCTAGTTTTACTTCCATTATTTTTTTAAGACAAAAAGGGAAAAAGACGATTTCGTTGCGTAGAGTCCAGTAGGACTTTTGTTAAAACAATTTAAAACGTCTTTGAGCGCAGTTCCGATGATGATAGCCTGCGAGCAAGCTCTCCATCTGGGGGAGTCGCGAGAAGTCACGATTTTGACAGGCCACGAATTTGGGTGCGACGCAACGAATGGTTTTCATTGGCCAGTTGCTTTCCAATTCGGCTAAAATGTCTTGCCCAGTTTATGGTACGATGGGTCTGTTTCGGCTAACGGATTACTAAGGTTCAACGTGCAATGAATCACTCGACCGTCGATTCTGGCGTCAATGACGCATTCTGTTTACTGTTATTTATATCTACCTTCAGTCCAGTGCTGTTTACATCAGTGGACTTCCCCATCACATCACTGAGGATCTTCTTACGCTCTATTTTGAGAACAAGAGGCGTTCAGGTGCCGAGATGGTGGAAGAAGTGAAAATCATGACTGTAAACTCAGCACGTGTCAAGTTTGAGTCATCAGAAGGTAAATCCCACCATTTTAAAGAACGGGGCGGAAGTCTTCGCCCAAAATTGGGTATCAATATTTAAAACTCTACTTGTAGAGATAAAAAAGATTTTCAAGCCAAACGAGCGCTGAATAACAACAAGTTTTGTTACATCTTTTGCGGTATGTGTTCTAAATAAACTAATTTTTAATAGTAAAACGAAGAAATTAAGGACCTGTCCACACGGATTTTTTTGAAAACGGAGAATTTTCCCTCCGTTTTCGCCTTCCTTCTACACGTAAACGGCGTTTTCGGGCTCCAAAAAGGCAGGTTTTTGAAAACGGTCCCAAGAGTGGAGTTTTATCGTTTTCGTCTCACGAAACGGAGTTTTTCGAACATGATAGTGTCATACATCGTACAGCGTATTTCCATTGTTTAAACGTTTTCGTGTGGACAAGCACAAGCCGGATTCGAATACGCTACGCATGGACACGTATTTTTTCAAAAACAGGAAGAAAAAAAATTCCGTTTTCAAAAATATCTGGTACTTGTGGACAAGGCCTAATTTTGATTAACCCAATGAGTCCCTTTACCGCGCTTTTACGCTTAGACTAAGTAATGAAGCTTCAAAGAACTGAAGGGTTTGCAGCTTTTTGTTTTGATCTATGATTAGTCTAATGAGTTTATGCAAGAAAGAGTGCCGGTTGAAATGTAAATTCCAGTAAAGAGATAACTGACAATAGCATTCTTCCCTTGCCAGTTGCTAGAAATGTAACACGTAGAACACATACTATCGAAGGTGCTCAACTTGAGGTGTCATATCGTCCGTTCACAGAAGAGAACTCTGAATTATCGTCATCGTCAAGGCAGGTCAGTCACAGAAATGGAATGATTCCATCTTTGAAAAGGCTTCAATTGACTACTTTCGAGTCCGCCAATAATACACTCTGTTTGCTCTACCAATCAAGGATGGATAAATGCTCTAGTAATGCATCAGTCAATTCCACCTGCGCCCAGCCCCCCCCGGGCTACTGCGGGGCATTTGCCCGCCTTGTCAGTCCCGGGGGTGGGGCATTTGCAAATTTTGTGCTCCCCGGGGGCCGGGCATTTGCCAACCCCCGGGCCATTCCCGAACTTTTGACACGCACGCGGTTTCCTATCAGAATATAATTACACAGAAGGTATTACTGGAAAAAAAGCAGATTGGCTCATCTGTCAAGGACAGGAATAAATTGTAGAGGTTTGTAAAGGCATGTTCTCGATTTTACATGTATGTATGCATTTCTTCATTGCTTATCAAGCCAGAATTACATAGCGAAATTGGAGCTATCGATGTGAATCAACGTTTTTTGCTTATTGAATCAAATTTCTGTTGATATTATTTGAAGAACACCCTTTCATATTTATAAAACTATTCATAAGATTTAACTTCACAACGCTCTATTAAGTTTAATGACAATAATTTTATATCATTGCTAAAACCATAAACTGGTGCATGTCGTCGCGGCGTGAAGTCTTAATTAGAATCCTAGCGCTATTACAAAGGAAGACGTTAATTGAGACAAAAAATCGCACATTAAAATGGCACCATCGGATCAATGAAAAATGTTGCACTGTTGACGGAGGACGGGGCATTTTGCCCTCTTTTTTCGTCCCCACCCCAGGGGATTTGATAGCTCAAGAGTCCCCACCCCCGGGAATTTGCCATCCAAGGCAAAAAAATGCTAATTCCCGGGGGTCAGCCCGGGGGGGAGGGGCTGGGCGCAGGTGGAATTGACTGATGCATAAGGGAAAAAACAACCATTTCTTTTGTAATTCTGAATGAGTGATGCGCAACAACCGAGTAAGGAAATGATGGATTAAAAAAGTGTTTTAACTTTGTTTTTCGAATTACAATAACTGTAATTATAAGTTACTGGACCGTCGACTGTAATATCAGTGAGGTGGACAATTTTGCTGAGGGTCAAACGAGTATTTTGTAACTAGTTTTATTTTTCGCTGTTATCCAAACTCACCCTAGGATGATGTTTTAGCCTTTTTGGAGGACTGGTTGGGGACAGTGATGGAGGATGAAATCACTGGAAATTCAGCGGAAGTCGAGTTTGAGTCAGAAGAAGGTAATTTGAAACTCACAACTAAAACTAAAGATATTTTTCTAATTTTCCATAATAATTTTTAACCTCTCCATTTTCAACGTCTCTTATCATAAGCGACCACTTGACACTGTATTTACTACGCCACTCAGGGTAAAAGGCTACGTGATAGCTAAAAACCATACCTTAAAAGAGCGGTTATTTCGGCGCAATCTGTTACGGAACGGTGTCTCGCTTCGTTCTTGAAAGTGGATCGTCACTTATCGGATAGGTTTCTGCCACCTTTCGTCGCAGTGTTAACAGGTACTGGATCCGTAGCGGTAAATAAGTAGTTACGAGGACTAGAACCCACTCAGACTGTAGTAAATATTTAGAAGTGGGTACTGGGATTTAGTTCACCAAACCCTCTCGGCCAACAGCTCCGGCATGATGTTCCATGTGTATAAACGACTTGTTCCAGTTCTGTTCCGTTACTATTTATGTTATTAAACCGGATAGCTTTTCGTGTCGGCACGAAAATCTATTCGGTATAGTGTAAAGTCGAACATGTCGGTACGGACACCTCTCTATTACGGACAGTTTGCAATGTCCCGACAAACTTCTCATAGTTTTTCTTTAAAAAAAAAACTCTATAATACGGACAATGGACACTAAATCTCGGCCCCAGAGAGTAAATTCATATAAACTTAACCTCTTTGTTACTGACACTGCGGAGATCAGGTCAATCCCGAATCCCGATTAGGTGAATCTGCATAGGGTGAATCCCGTCTAGTCTTGCTGATGAGCTATGCACGGTGATATAAAGCCCAGACCGATCGCTGTATACCAAATCACGACGTGTACAGAGGAACAAAACCGACGTTTTGAAGGTTTCAATAACCACAGATAGCATAAAGATCTTTTCTATTACATTTTGTACTCTAGTTACTGTTTCCTTCTTCACTTGCAAAATAGCGAAAGACGCTTTCAGAATTGCCTGCTATACGGTGCGCGCGTCTAAAATTTGAATTA